TTTACCAACCACCCTGTATATTAGTAGACGACGATTGTACGTAATTTCGAATATTAGATCGCAATGTTTATCGGTGCATTGTGATTCTTGTTGCAAACAATTTAATAAAGTAACATATTGTAGGAATATACGCTACTCCGCTACGGTGGATCTTTACTTTCAAAGACGTTTTATCGTAACGATATAATAAAATTAACCTTGGCTGTGGATTTCGAGAGCCACCACATTATACGTACAATACTTTGTTATCGATCTTTTCCCACTTGATATCCTCATTACGCGTAACTATCAAGGAGAGAATCGACGCGAATGCGGTGCCGTTGTAGGAACATATTGCCGGCAGTATTAGCGATACCAGGCTAATGAGCTTGAATGTGTTCCAAAATTCGCCGCGGGAGCTGACGATGTATGCAAGAGGATGGGTAGCAGGAGAAACGTCGGGGAAAATCACGGCAAAGAGCGACCTTTCGAACAAAGTGCATTTAGGCCAACATAATATTGTCCTTCATCCCGGGAATGAAATTGCTTTTTTCAGTTACACGCTGCCCTTTAATTTGTTTTCCACCGACGTACCGGTATAGTACGTTCTTTCGATTCCACGAATATATCGATTGCGACAGGACTCTTTCGTTTCATATCGATTACCTTCGACCATTTCGTTTTGTAACGAATTACTCGACACTTAGATCATAGTTTGAACACAAATAACAACGGTACCAGAATATGTACGAATTATTAGTTTATAAAAATATTTGTATCGCTGTGGAAATCTATGTGGAAAAAATACAGCGGCCGAAACAATGCATGGAGCGCATTATGCCAAGCAGATTTTCAAGCGGCTCGCGGTAATAATTCATTCAGAATCGAGGTTATAGAAATCAAAAGAGATCGTCCAGGGAATAGTTTGTGGCCAGCTTCCGTTTTGCCTTTCTTCGCGCATAATAAATGCTCAAAATATAATTACGAGTTCAAAATGCGCGTTAATGAAAACCTATTCTTCGCTTGAAACCTCAGACCTGTTCTGTGAAACGTCTCGCTATTCTGCTCTCCAAGTAACTCAAACAGAGAAATAAGGTTTATTATCTCTCCTTTCTCAATTACATTTGCAAATTGTTTTATCGTGATAAAAACAATATACTATATCTATGTTGTAAATTACTACGAACGTTATCTTACTTTTTTCATCGTCTTTCGTTCCTTCGGTTATTTATTTATTTTAGTTATCATCGAATATCGAGTATCATGAGAATATTTTTTAAGATCGATTATTCCGTCGTTCGCATAAATCAGTCGCCTGATAACGTATCAATAGATCATTTAAAATGACCAGCGCTGAATAACGTCGCGTGCCAGTGACTACCAGCTCGATAATTAGTCTTCATTCATACCGAAATCAATGGAATGTAATTTCAGGCAAATCACACGCCACGCGCACTATAATCAAAGATGCAACGTGCGAAATAATACCTAATCTAAAATGTGTCGCAAACCATGCTTCACGACTCGCTTATTGCTGTTTGCACGGTAATCGATGCTTTCCAGATTAATGAAATACTACCAAACAAGAACGATTTTCGCGTCAAAATTTTGATTGTGTAGAAAGTTTGTCGGATTTATGCAAAAAAGTGAGAATATCGTGTTAAATATTAATTTCCGGAAGCGAATTTTTTCTCGCGTGTTTATATTCGCGACGTTTATATTCGCTATGTTTTGCATTAAAATATTTGCTATCATAGAGATTTCGATATTTGCAAACATCAAATCGTTCCACGAACTGCAAGCTAAATAAGCTGTTTTAAGACCTCGCCAATCGTATAATATATCTATGACGAAGACAAACAAGGTCATAGCCATTTCTCTTGGTTCTCGCATTGCGACACGATTCTTACGATAGAAATGTAGTACTATATTGGCAACTTACGATCTCGCGTTTGTTCATCGAATATACAACAGTATTATATTAGCGATTAGCAGCTTTTACGAAAGGGACGGTGTTATAATATGGAAGATTCCTCTCCTTCGGAACAGGAAGAACACGGTACTGTTTCATATTCAAAGAAAAGTATACCAATTTAGATAATCTTTAACTGTAACTTACAAGACAACGTATTACTGCGTGGAAACTTAGTTTCACGCCAAAGACCCTAGATTACATCTCATTAAACATTAGAGCCCATATTACATTTCATTGAGCACTGTATCACCTTACTACTCATTCTTACCTTCCATTTACGATAAATCCTTGTAAGTCTATATTATCAATTCCATTTTTCTTCTACAAAAAAAGTAAAAAGAGAAAACAGAGAAAAGGCTACCACAAAACACGAAACAGAAACGAGAAACGATTGCCTAATCGAATCACGTCTACCGAAATAACACACGGTGAGACAAGCGCAGTGTTTCGAACGTTTGATCCCACTGGATAACAACTGGTTGCAAGTTTTGTCCTGGCGGTGTTTCTTTTCTCAGTGGTAATTAGCCGAATACGTATGCATTGACTTGAACCGGGTAATTTCGCGCGCTGGTTGACAAATACATTGTGTCTACAAATACAAACGGAACGTAACCTTCGGTTAGATTAGAATGAGGATCGTAGAAAGCTAGAGGCCGTGGCGAACTTCGTTGTTCGCAGACCAGGCGGCTGTAACCCTGAGCCGAGATGAACAGAGTGCAAGATGTTTGTGCATTAATGCCTGCGGTGGGCTGCAATCGAGCACGATACACCACCTACCGAAACGGCTCGTATTTCATGCGGATGCAACGTTCATTCGCGTTCGCGTAATCTCTGCCAGCCTCGAGACCGTCTACCGCTACCTAACCCGTTTGTGCAGCGATGGCCGTTAACATTCGCTGCCTGAAATTCCGCCAACGAACGAACGTCTCCTTTCTCTGTAAATATGCAACTTTCGTTGTATAATTCAAATTTGACATTAATTAAAAATCGGAAGAGAACCCTGGCTTCGGGCCATCTTCAACCCAACAGTGTTCTGTGCGAAATAGATTTAACGCTTCTGAAATTGTTAACGTAGTATAATACGTAGTAACTCGTAATAATTGTTTTTGACCTTAATGACTTTGGTAACTGTGAGTCGAAATTGTAGAACATTCGTGTCATCCGCAGTGTTCTATATGAACATATGTAGCATATATAAGGCATAGAAATAGCTCGTACTTCTGTGGAATTATACGTGAAACGAGTAACATTTACGGTTGCATGGTGAAAATGGATTTTGCACTACTTCAATTATGGAGCTTTCAGCCATTAGCGACATTCATACAACGAACTGGGTTGTTGGTCGCATTTCCAAGTGAAATTGCTTTAAATTTTGGTCGTGAAGATTCGTATCATTTGCATCCAATTTCCATTCGATTTATCGCCGTTTAAAGGTACATGTATAAATATACAATTAAAAACTCCAAGTCAAGGAAATGATGTAAAATATAAGAAGACGAAATGCAGCATTCGTCGACAGTGAACAATATTAACAATAATTGATTACGTTGTTCAAAATATGCAATGCTGTAAAAAGTGAATACGATATCGCATGTCTTGTCAAATAATAATCTGAAAATAAACAGAAGAAGAAAAGAAGTAATTGGTCGAACAACTTCCTCTCGCGATGAAAACGTAATCAATGAACTGCAGTTGGTAATAATCTCTACATTCGTAACATATTCAATGGTAAATGCCTGCTGGCTTTTGATAAACAATTCTCTTTTTGTCGTATGAAAGCACTCAACTCGCAGTTTACTGGTGCAACCGATAGTACATAAAACTACTTTGAAACAGAAAACTAGTGGGAGTCGATAAATCCGGCAAAAAGAGCGCACGATTTCTATTCCCGTATCCCTGGATGTGCGTGCAGCAAGTTAAAGTTTCTCGCGTGGCGATCTCTCGAAAACGATCCTCGACTATCGTTCTCTTCTCTCTCCCTCGAGTATTTCTCGTGCTCTAGATCCGTTCAGTTCGACGATCGGTGCGCCGATAACGCGTACTCGAAACACAGATCGAAGGAGTCATTTGTAACGAGACATCGAATTCGCGGCTGCATCCCTCTTTCATGTACCTACTTTTCTTCGTTTGACTCTTCTGGTTCTGAAGAGGCTCGCAAAATGCATTTTCACCGCTTTCTTTCATCGGCTAGACCTCGGTGCTTCCACTAGAAGAATTTTTATCGCAAAAAGCACGGTTGTCCTTTACACGGTTTTTGTATAATCGTGATGTATAATCGTGGTGAATACGACGGTGGACGATGTCATTGATTCGAAATGAGAGATTTCGCCGTTAGGTTCGACCGAACGTGCTTTTGGGCACGATGGATTGTTTGGAATTTCTTTCTCAGGTCTGTTAATTTTTACCAGTTTCGATGATCTCGTTAGATAAGATTATTCGTTATTTGAGAGAAAAGAAAACATTGTAATGTAATCACCAGCAATTTTATTAACAGTAAAATCAAATATTTGTAACGCCAACTGTGCAATTTCGCGTCATTAAATCAACAATAAGGAAAGAACTATTTATATTGACACGCCCGTCAATGAAACCAATATTTTTCATTCGTCATTTTTCACATCCCAGGACAGCGTATCATCCATCCCTTATCATATCGAAATATAATTTTCCAACCTGCACTCTCACATTTCCCCGATAACATTGAACACATTGAACACCGAATTACCATATTTTTTTCGTAATAGTGCCGAACACGAACAAAAACGATATTTAATTTACTTTTCAATTATAATATTCCTCGACTAAAACTATGATTCAAAATTAACGAATCGTTCCAGGACAAAATTCCTCTTACAAATCCTTCTTCTTTAATGCCACATCAAAACTCACAGGTACCATTCTGAGATCGATATTCGGCTAGATCGGTCGCGACACACGAAACCCTTACGCTAAGCAATAATATGCTTTATTACTTGGGCAATTGGTAGCAGGTTGTGCGATGGAGGGTCAAAGAGAAACTAAACGAGCGATTTCACGCTATTCGTAGAAAAGCCCGACGAAAGGAGAAGGATGCGGGAACTACAGAGGATCCGAAATTGTACCTCGAGGAGGCGGCCCTTGAAAGGCAGCTGCCAGAGCTGGACCTGAGGATGCTGGTCGATTTACCACCCGGTTTGGACTACAACGAATGGTTGGCCTCTCACACTCTCGCACTATTCGATCACATCAATCTCGTTTACGGAACGATATCCGAGTTCTGCACGATGACGGGCTGTCCCGATATGACCGGTCCTGGCTTAAGGTGCGTATCGTACGAATAATAATCGTATATCGATCCAACAACTTAACTTACAATTTTTGCAATCTTAAGGTTTTTCATTCTGAGCAATTAAATTAAATTTTTTATCTATCGTATTAAATTACTTAAAAAAAAAAAAAAAAAAAAAAAAAAAAG